TCCAACACCCCCCCTCCTTCCTGACTGCCCCCCAGGACTCTTGCACCCATTCAACCCCACCGTTCCCTGCCCTCTGACAGCCCCGACCCCATCCACACCCCCGCCCCCTGACCACCACCCCGAACTCCCCTGCCCTCTATCCAACCCCCCTGTTCCCTGCCCCCTTACCGCGCTGCCTGGAGCACCAGTGGCTGGCGGCACTACAGCTCGGGCTCTGCAGCTGCGCTGCATGGCAAAAGCTTGCAGCCTGCCACCCAGAGCATTGCACCGACAGCACAGCGCGCTGAGGCTGTGGGGAAAGAGGGAACAGCGGCTAGCCTCCTGGGGCAGGAGCTCAGGGGCCAGGCAGGAGGGTCCTGCGGGCCAAATGTGGCCCGCAGGCCGTAGTTTGCCCACCTCTGATGTAGATGGACCCTTCTGCCCACAAGGAGGCCACTAAAGTCAATGAGCCTCTGAAAGGGTCCCAAGGTTCTACATATGCAGATCCAATTGCAGTACCGATATATTAGTTAGCATTTGAAGATGAAAAACACAACTAAATCCCAAATATTTATGATTCTACAAGAAGACTGTCTAATGGAGAGATCACAGGACTGTAAGTCAGGAGTTCTGGCTCTATTCCCAATTGTGCCAATACTGCACTGTGTGATCTCGGGGAAAGTAACTGAATCACTGTGTCCCCAGTTTCTTCACCCGTACATTAGAAATAAGGATCTAGCTTAGGCACTTATTAATGGTATTGACATTTGTAAAGCATTCCAAGTAACTAAAGTGAAAAGTACCATATAAATGCAAAGTAATCCATTCCCAATGAAATCAACAGAACTACTAATGTAAGAGCTAAGTTTTTCACTTTTCACTATATAATAATACATGTGATTGTTGCAGGATTGGGGATTATGACATAATAATGAGGGAAGATAAATAATATTATTATGATAAGACAAATAAGAGATCAAATGTAGTTGTACTTGGAAAAACCAAAACCACATCCCACAGTCCTTACTCAGGCAAAACTCCCATTGAATTTGATGGGATTTTTGCCTCAGTAAGACCTTCAGCACTTAGCCTAAAGATAGGCTTTTATAAGATCATGATAAAACTTGACCTATAAAGAAAACAATACAATAAATCATATATATAACAGAACGTGCAACAAAAATGTTCCGTTTTCAGTATACAGTGCTTCCTTTTTGCTGTTACAGAAATAGTTTCCATGGTATTAAACAATCGGATAAATGTATTCGAACCTTAATAAATTTCAAACTATCGCAGTAGCAAAGCTATTGCGATTGGTGAAGGAGGACTTTCCCTCTGTTTTGGGCAAAGTAAAACTTTTCCAAAATTAAAATTAACCTTTGAGCTGAAATTTCTTGTTGTTGGCCTAAATGTGAAATAGTTTTAGGCCAAGTCTACACTATAAACTTACATCGGTATAACTGCGTCACTCAGGGGTGTGAAAAATCCACACCCCTGGGTGATGCAGTTATACTGACCTAATCCATGGTGTAGACAGCGCTATGTCAATAGAAGGGCTTCTCTCATTGACACAGCTACCACCTCTCGCGGAGGTGGATTATCTACGTCAATAGGAGAAGCTCTCCTGTTAGTGTAGTATCATCTTCCCCAAAGTGCTACAGCAGTGCCGCTACAGCATTTTAAGTGTAGATCTGCCCTTGGAAAAACAAAGAACAGGCAAACAGAATTATACTAAGGTATCAAAGAATATGGAATGAGGTGGGGGGGAAGTGTTTATTCCTGAGGTACCTTACATGTGTCCTGGTAATACAAAATAGTTTGAATTTAAAACTTCACATTCGTCACGTACCTCATCTCCCTGAGAAATCAATTGCTTTACTCGATGAAACCAGACACATTTTTAATGACAGAAAAAACAGCGTGCAGTACATTCTTTTCCTATCCAATTACAGTGTACACCACTCGGCACATCCTTAAGCGCACATACAAGTATAAGGCAGCACTGGAAAGAGTCTGGAAAGTCTAGCAGCATTTTGGTTAGGTTTCAGTGCTTGATATTTAAAATATATGTACAGTATATTTTTTTACCTCCTTCCCACCAACTTCTCCTTTGTAGCTTGCACCCGTATTGATCTACTTCTAGATATGTTTACAACAAGACCAACACAATGTGTGAGGCAAACCAATGTTAATTAAAATAAAATAACCTCCAAACAAAAATCACACAAACAAAAAATCACACATCACACAAGCAAAACCAATTCTTTCATGATTGACAGACAAGACTTGAAGATCAACAAAGTAAAGCTGTGTTGTTGGACTACTGGATTGAGATGGGAATATAAATTCCAGAGATGAGGCCTCTCCATTGAGACTGCTCTCCCACAAACTCCCAAACCTAGGGGGACTGTCAGTTCTGACAATCTCAACAGCCCCTTTTAAAAGGCAAGAAGGCAGCCTCTAAGGTCAGAACCCACACTATACTATCGGGGTGGTCAAACTGTGGCTCATGAGCCGAATGCAGCTCTTTTACAGTTAAAGTGCGGCTTGCGGAGCCCCCAACGCCCCCCCAATTCTCCACCTATCAGACCGGGCGGGGGAGAGGGAGCTCGGGCTTCTGCCCTACAGCGGGCTGGTGGGGCTAGGGGCTTCTGCCACAGATGACTGGTGCCTGCTGAGAATGGGGGGCACAATTTAAAGGTCGTTTTCCCCCCTCCCCCCCAAGAGCTTTCCCCCCAGCCCTGGAGCACCCATGGAGTCAGAGCCTATCCCTCAGTGGCCCCTCCCTGCAGCTCCTAGGTATTAGCTCTGCGTGGACAGGCAGCAGAAAAAGCAGCAGCTCCCCCGGCAGCTCCCAGCAGGCGTGCCCCGGCTCTCGAACTTCTGAAGATTGTCATATATGGCTCGGAGGGTAAGTAAGTTTGGCCACCCCTGCCATATAGGAATCCATAAGATCTATCAATATCTTAAATCACATGCTCTTATTAGTGTTCTTATTCCTATCTGAGAGAACCATACAAACAATAGGGGGAATTATTAAGTCAGTGGGAAATTTACTGAAGTCCATGGAATTATCCTTCAAGTTAAAGACAAGTCAAAGAGTTTGCAGAAATGGGACCTAACAGCCTATCCAAGGGAAACAGTGAAACTGACTATACACAAAGGGTTGGCAATGCATATTTTTCACTCTTTTCAGCGTTAGTAATTTTGGGTATTACTGGTAACAATAATAGGTAAAGTATATTCTAGCAAAAGTGTGAATTTTAGTTGATGGTGTCCCTTCAATAGGGATATAACCTATCTGAAGCAGCAGTATTAGGCCCAAATCCCACAAATGAATCATCACAGGTGGACCCTTGTGTCAGCATGAAGGCCCCCCCATGAAATCAATGAGAAATAACTTACAAGATCAAATCTTCAGTTTGTAAGACAGGGCACTGTAACCACTGCTTATTACACTAATCGTAATTCTCGCACCAATGCTTAGTGCTCCATGTTTGTCGTATTCACACATTGTCTCTTGCAGTTACAGTTAGGCCCCAACCCTGCAAACACTTACACACATTCTTAACTTGACCAGCATGAGTAACCTCATTGATTTCAATGGGTATACTCATGGTAGTCAAGTTAAGAATGTGTGTAAGTGTTTGCAGGGTTGGAGACTTAGATAGTAGGGACCAAATTTTTGTTATATATGCATAAAGTACCTAGTGTATTCCTTGAATGAATCACTAGGAACCACTGCAATACAAATAAGAAATAACAGTTGTAGCAACAGTTTGCTCATTTTTATATAAAATGTAAATCTATTTAATTTCCAAAATTTAATCATTTTAACCAAAGGGTAAATTGTCCCTCTTTATGAACCAGAGCCGTAGGTATTTCAAAAGGAAAGTGTCAAGGATGACAGGCCGAAAATTTAACCTACCATTCAAATACTATTTTAAAAAAAAGTTATTTGGCTCCTGATGTTAAAAACCCTAGTAGCTCCACAAAAAAAGTTCAGACATGTTACAAAAATGACAACTCCATTGAGTAATCCACTAACAAGAATTCAGGCAACCTGTTTTTCTCTCAACTGACAGATGCATATATATGTGTGTATTTTTCATGTGTCTACTCCATTCTTGTGAGCAAACAGGGTGGCAGGATTCTGATCAGAGCAGGTCCTTTACATATTTAAATACTTTGACTAAATACAAAAGTATCAGACAGGTAGAGAGAAGGGATGTGGGAAATGTACATATCTGCAAAATAAAACAAAGATGATAGGCCAAAACCTACTAACCCTTGACAATATCCAGAATTATGAACTCCAATATCAACTACCACAATGACCAACTCTAATATTAACTTTAGTTAACTGTACTTATTTTCTTCGCTTGTAAAACAAAAAGGAGAATGATAAAATGTAGAAATCTGCATTTGATCACATAAGCCTCTTCAATAACAGTTTTGGAAGGCTGAATGAATGAGAAAATGAAAAATATATAGGTCCTTTTCCCTGCAAGAACATGATTCTAAGAACTGCTCTGCCCCCCCCAGACTTTTACTAAAAATCAGTGGGAGTTGAGAGCACTTAGCTCCCTGCAGAAAGTGCTTGGCAGATCACAGAATTCAATGCTAAATTAATATTGTTCACACCTGCTAATGAATCATCTCATTTAAAACTATTGCCACATTGGATTAAATGTTAAGCGTTGATAACCTAAAATATTTGCAAAAAGCTTGTGTGCCTTCAGACTGCCAGCAATGGTTCTGTTAGTATTAGCATTCAGAACTTCCACAAGTATTGCAAACAGTAAACACATATCCATTCATAGATGCAAGTTTTCATTTTAAATATATTAACTGATGCCAATTTTTTTTAGCTTAATAAATACTTGTATGGCATGAACTGTTTCTCACTCACAGGCTAAATTCCCCCTCAAATTTCTGTTACAACAATAGTTTTTAGCACAATTTAGATGTCTGCTGTAAAATAAAAATGTTTTAATCATACAACTGATCTTGAGCCTTACCTTTTAGAAGCGGCAGAGGAGTTAATTCAATAGGCTTGCCCTGAGACCTAAACTGGGAGGAGCTTTGTGACCTCTTCTGTCTGGCTTTTCTGACGGACTTCCGAGAAAATCCGTCTACTTTATCCACTGACGGAGGAGTGGTTGGTGCTGAGGACATATCCCTACTGAAGGGAAACACACATTATAAATACATTCCCAGTGGATGAAAATAGGTAAAGATTAAATGCGTTTGTCAAGAGCCACCTCCTTCTCCTCATTCACATCCCTCCTAAAAACCCACTTCTGACATCAAAGAGAGATGGTCCATCAATTTACATATAGGTCTTATGAAGTAGCTTCATGGTACTATTGTAATTATTGTCCATCCTCTCCCCTATTTTGTCTATGGTCCTCACTTGTTACATCATGCCTGAATTTAGCCACTGATTCTGCAATCAGATCCACACGTAGACACCTGTGTATCCATCGAGATCAGTTGATGTCTATGGAACTCGACAGAGGTCCAGGAGTATGCCTGTGTAGACCTGACTGCAGGATCAAAACCTTAGATCATAAGCTTTTTGGGTCACAAAATATCTTTTACTTGTTTTCACAAAGCACTATGCACACTTCTAGGAGCTCAAAAATAATAATGAATTTTAATATTAAAGTCACAACTATTTTCTAGGACAATTAAAAACAGAAATAAAATTCAGTTTCTATCCATAAAGAAAGGCGTGTGTTTTGTGGAAACATTAAGTTCACTAAAATATACTGCTATACTTTAAAACCAAAGAAAGTTCACTAGACTTGATAGACTTAGGTTTGGTCTACACTAGCAAGTTATGTTGGTGTAACTACGTCCCTCGGGGGAAAATCCACCTCCATGAGGATGCAGTTATACTGACCTAACTCCCGAGTAGACAGCGCTATGTCAAAGTGGGGGGCTCGGCTCACCTGTTAACATAGCTACCGTCTCTCGGGAAAGTGGAGTACCTACTCAGACGGGAGACGCCCTCCCATCAGTGTAGGTATCATCTTCACTGAAGCACTACAGTGCATGCTGTAATGATGCAGCTGCGCCACTGCTACCTTTTAAGTGTAGATAAGCCTGTAGCCTGTCACTTATTTATTCTCCACTCTAGAAATATCCAGCTTTCATATTGCAAATCTCTTTGCACATTCCTTTTTCACATTCTAATATTTCTGGAGGATATACTAAAATGGTTAATTCAACAAGCAAATTCTTGATTTTTACCAGGCTTACCTTCTCTGTCAAAAAAGTTATACAACATTTTCTCAGTGAAGTGGAAAGAACAGATTTAAGAAAAAAAGATTTAGCCCCAGATCCAGCAAACACTTACACATGTGTTCAACTTTAATCAGTGGGGCTACTCACATTAGTCAAGTTAAATGTGTGTAAATGTTTGCAGGATCAGGGCCTTAGAGCATGTTTTTGGAAGGTCCTGAGAGCACTCAATGTCCATTGATTCCAAATATCTAAAGGACTACTATTGCTAATGGGAGGTGATTTTGCAACCTGCAGTTCACCTTGATTTAACAAAATTCCTCATTTTGTTAAAATATTTGGGGACTGATCTGATTCATAAATAATTTAAATCAACATTATTTGGATTTTTCTTATTATGCAAAATACTTTATAAGTATGATTTTTTTTTAAATTATGTATGTTTAGAAAGATGAGGATTGTTAATTTTCCACATCTTTAAGTTGAGAGGGTTTCATTTATCGCGTGTGTATATATTACACACACACACACACACACACACAGTCTACTGAAAATATAAAATACATAACTTCTCAAGGAACCAAGAGGAATCCCTTGATATAGGACAGTGAAGCTGGCAACACCGAAAAACAATTCTTATTGTATCAATTTAATTTTTCATCAGGTGTGGCTTCATTATCATCCCAAATAATACATCCTACATTTAATAGACTATGAGCAACACACTTTTATACTTGAAACAGATGTTATTTACCAACTGTAACAGATGCCAACATCACCATGGCATCAAGGCCCCATGCAAGATTCATGGGAAAGTCAGACAAACTATATGGAGAAATGGATATATGCTTTCACCTCAACAAACCAATTTGTGATTCCTAAGTAAGGGGAGAGAAGAGTCCCTCAAAATATACAAACACAAAAAGTTACCTGTTATGTCAGCAGGACTCTGGAAATATCAACAAAAAATGACACTTAGATTCTAGATTTGTTAGTCCTATTTCTTTTAATGAGGCAAAATGTTTTCATCTCCTTGTCACGTGTAACTATTAAAATAAATCTAACCATTTATCCAGAAATATTTGTACAGTCTCAAAATGAAATTCCTAACACCATTAACGGACAAAGACTAGAGCAGATCACTCAAATTGCAGGATCATTCTGTCAGCAAGACACTTTATTCTCTGCTGTAAATTTATGAACAGCTTCTCTCACCTGATTTATAAATTATTAAATTCTAATTCTAATTCAACAAGACTACATCCAGCCTTAACATTACAGTAAACACTGATCACTTTTTCACATTCCTAAATGATCATTTAAATGCACTGAAAAACACTATTTCCATGGGGGGGGGGGGGAAATAAGGTTATTTATTGAGCGCAGCACAAGTGGTGGATAACTGCATTTATAACTATAGCTTTCTCAATACGAAAGTATTTATTTATAACACGGGAAATTTTTAAGTATTTTGGTAAATGCACAGCGACATACACTAGACACTGTCACCGCTGGGGACAACAATACGAGGAAACGCGAGTGAATGTAAAAATACCGATGGATGTCACTGCAAGCGGCTAGGTAGGAGCAAGCGCCTCCACTAAGCACTCAGTGAAAGCAGGGGTGTAATTAGCCGCATCCTGACGGGTGTTGTTGGATGTCATTTCCATCCACCAGGGGATAAGTAACACAGCTGGACTCTGTCCTTTACTACCCCCGCCCCGTGATCCCCATCTTCTCTAGCGCTCCCCGATCCTCCCGCCCCGCCCGCTCTCCCCCAGCCCTCCCCCCACGCCGCGGCCAGGTCGCTGCCCACTCGGGGCTGGGGTGAAGTTACCTTGACCCTCCTGGCAGAGAATTCGGAGCCGAGGAGGAGAAGGCGGAGTGAGCCGGGCTTGGCGGCAGCGGCCGGAGCGTTGTGCGCGCCGGGCTCTGTCCCTGCAGCTGCAGGAGCCTGTAGGCCTCGGCGGCGGCGGCCTCCTCAGCGCAGGGCGGCGTTGGCGGCGGGTTCAGAGGCAGGCAGCTGCTCGGGCTCCGCTCAGTCCCGTGCGCTCGGCGCGGCCCCCTGCCTGCGATGGCTGCTGCCTCACTCACATTCCCGGCGGAGCCCTGCGGAGGGGCCTGCGGAGGGGCGGCCGAGCGCGGGCCGAGCTGAGAGGAGCCGCGGTAGGGCGAGCGGCCGGGCGCGGCGAGGGGCGCTGCGGCTGGCGCGGATGGCCTCCTCTGCCGGTGGCTGGCTGGGAAGCGAGGGGTCCCGGCTGTGTCGGGGTCGCGCTCAGGCTCGCTCGCTCCTATTGTCAGCCACTCTCACTGGGCTCCGGCCATGGCACACACACACACACACAACCAAACCTGCTGCCACCGCCCACAGCCCGCCCCCCGCACACGCCCACTCAGCCTGCCGCCGCCGGGACGCGCCGCCTCATTGGCGCCCGCCGCCGGGAAGTGGGAGCGCCGCCGCCAGCACAGAGCAGAGGTACGGGGCTGGGCAGGACGGGGGCAGCGGCGCACACCGGTGGCCGGGCACCCCCCGGGCGCTACTGCTGAGCCTGGCTGCGCATAGGCAGGAGGAGCTGAGCTCTCCCTTCCCGCCCAGGGGCTGGTACTGCAGGGAGTCCGGCCCGGGTCTGGCGGTGCTCCACTGAGCTCTTCGCCCACTGTCCCTGCACGGAGCAGGCCGCCAGCAAGGCCTCGGACCGGGTAGCGCTGCCCGCCTGGCCCTGCAGCTCGGGGAGACCCATGCCCTGCTGCGGAGCTGGCACCCAGGCCTCTGTGCTGGAAGGTGCCGCCCTCCCCCGTCGGAAAGGGCAAGGTCCGCTGCCCCCCGCACCCAGCCGAGCGAGTAGGGGATGCCTGCCAAGGTAAAGCCGAGCGCTCCCCGACGGAGCCCCGTACGCCCCCGGGGCGCTCCACAGGCCTTCTGCGGGGAGGCGCTGCTCGCCGAGCCCCGCTCTAAAGGGGAGGGCCATGAACCGTGTTGTCCGGCCGGGATAAATATGTTCTGCCTCCGTCCTTCCACTCCCCCTGAAGCGTCGGTGCCTCACACGTGTGTGGCGGTGGGGTGAGCAGAGCTGCCCAGCTGTTCTCCCTGTGGTCTGTGTAGTGCCTGCCACACCATACCCGTGTACGTGACAAGGACTGGGGGGGAAAGGTGCTGAATAAACGTCAATTTATATCCTATAACTGAAGAAATAAAACTGCTTTTAAAAAGTATTGTTTAACAACCTTCCCCCCCCCCCCAGCATTGTGAAAATAAATATGGGGAAGACACTTGCTGAATTCTCCCAATTATAAGATTTATGCCAACCCTCCACATCTTATGGTACAGGGCACCTGGGCTTCCCAGCACAGTCAGCTTGGTGTTTTCTAAGGATTTTTTTTTTTTAAATCGGTACAAGTATATGTGTGCAACAAAGTGAATATTTTTAATAATAGCGCATAACTTTCATATTATAGTTAAATATATATATGGCTCGTGTTATAAATATAATGCAATATTTCCCCCATGATTTTGACAAAGTTATTCCTTGTTCTGACAGAACAAGGAGTAACGGTCTCAAGTTGCAGTGTGGGAGGTTTAGTTTGGATATTAGGAAAGACTTTTTCACCAGGAGGGTGGTGAAACACTGGAATGGGTTACCTAGGGAGGTGGTGGAATCTCCTTCCTTAGAGGTTTTTAAGGTCAGGCTTGACAAAGCCCTGGCTGGGATGATTTAGTTGGGGATTGGCCCTGCTTTGAGCAGGGGGTTGGACTAGATAACCTTCTGAGGTCCTTTCCAACCCTGATATTCTATGATAAAGTAAGGCCAAACCTTACTGATTTCACAAGAAAGTAGCTGGGAATATAATGCTATAACAACTGTTAATATAGGTATTCGTCCTCCCTCTCCCACCTTCACTTGTTCCTCTAACAGGTATTTTTTTTAAAAGATGCTCTTTGAACTATTTAAGAGGAGTGAATTAATTTTTTTATATGAGTTACTAAAAAGTACACGTTGGTAGTTCGTAAGCATGGGTAACATACTGAAAATCATGGTAGCTACTAGTATTAAGACCACATAGATGGTCTTTGCTTCATTTTCCTTTTATGTCTTCCCTCATCCCATTTGTTCTTTATAATTGTTTCCCCAGTAGTCAAGGAGTATACAGTAGTGCCACACTAAATATAGGAAGAGTTGAGGAGCTGATTGCCAGCTTCCTTGCTAGGAAACTGACTTAGTGTGAGAGCCATGAAAGATTTAAAGCTTCACTCTTCTCATTGCTATACAGATGGACAACCAAGCAATTGTCATTTCCTGTAATGGGACAAAAAGGTAGTAAACTACCTAGCTTGTCATGTCCCCAGAAAACTTTTATTTAAAAAAAAAAAAACAAAAAAAACCTACAATAGAGACTTAGATCTTAACTACATTAGAAAACTTGTATTGATGGAACTATTGCCTAGGGAGGTTGTGGAATCTCCATCTCTGGAGATATTTAAGAGTAGGTTAGATAAATGTCTATCAGGGATGGTCTAGACAGTATTTGGTCCTGCCATGAGGGCAGGGGACTGGACTCGATGACCTCTCAAGGTCCCTTCCAGTCCTAGAGTCTATGAATCTATAAAACATTTAGTTACAGAGGAACAAATCCCTAATATAGATGCACTTAAATCACTTTAAATCCACTTGAACCAATTTACCTTACTGTAGTAATGTATGGTATTAAGCTAAATTGGTTTAAGTGAATCTATTCTAGGGGTTTGCACCAGTGTAACTAGATCAGTTTTTGTTACACCAGTGCAAGTGTCTAACAGAGGGAAGGACTTCACCATTTCAGTTAAAAGAGAGTTTCACATAGTTATGTCCCTCCATGTCTATTAATTAAAATACTCTACATTATCCAAATTCAGTGTCCTCCATGCCATTTGGATCATGTATAGAGCACTGGAGTGAGGCTCAGGAGACCTTGGCCGCTAGCCTGATGGGGACCACAGGCAAGTTATTGAACCTGTCTATGCTTTAATTTTCTCATCTGTACAATGGGGATAATATTTACCTCCTTTGTGTAAAGCACTTTGATATCTACAGATGAAAGGCAGTATATAAGAGGTTATTATTCTTAAAATAAGTTCCTAGTGATAGAAGGGCTAGTAGTCAGTCTACTGCAATCCACATCTCTGCAGATAGTCTCATGACCTCCCTCTCTTGCTATTTTATAAGTTGTTAAGTTTAGGTAAGCTAATAATATTTATATTAGAAAATGAATAAATCAGATTTAAATTATGTATTCCATATAACTAAAAAATTGCTGTACAAGGACTTGCTATTTCCATTTTGACTGCTACAGGCATGTTTATACTGTTTGTTGTAATATTTATCAGTCTGATGTGGTGATGAGCATCTCAAAACCAGGAGACCTAACAATGTATAAATGAGACTTACTTTTTCTTTATCTTCTGGCCAGCAAATTTTCCACAACTCTTCTTTCCTTTTCTTGCAGATTGTTTTTTCTTTTCTTTCCTGGTCATGTCCCATGAGTTCTTGTATTCCTTTAAGAGAAATACAAATCTTGTCCTCAAATGTGCAGGCAGATTTGTCTGCACCCTCATGAAAAGCTGTTGTCATGTTAAAGGGACACAGCAACTTTTTTTTTTCTTCATTGAATGCTTGATTTACATTTTGTGAAATTTGTATTTCCAAGAAATTACATATTCTGGCATCTAGGCAGCAATATAGAAAATCCAAAAAAATCACAAATGTATAATTAGCAAGAATAAAAGCTACCAAACAAGCAGCACCAAGTGAAGCTCAGAACCCCCAAAATCTTCAAGGAAAAGCCCGTATTCATATCTAAACCTTTCAAGGTGCCCTAAAGGTTTAGGGGTGGAAAAAGCACTCCTCCACTGATATATCCCTATCCTAAGTAAACAAGGTGCAGGACTGTCATCTCAAACATCCCAGCTTATCATGATAGAGAGAGGTGTTCTCTACAACTGCACTGCACAATGTGAGCCCAATTAATTTTTTATTTTTTTTTCAGGAAAGTTCAACTATGAGCCTTTAAAACAGATTTTAAAAGAAAATTTCAAAGGTAGCTTGTTTTATTTTTAAGAATAGGCATTAAAAGTCACTAATGCTCTGTGGAGAATGGTCTGTCCAGCTCAACATCTATAGTGCCAAAACAATACTGGTGGGCAAAGCCTACTCTGCAACAATTACTCCCAGATTTGGTCTGCCTAGGAGTTCCAAAGCGTGATTAAATATCCACTATCTAGGGTTCGTGGACCTGTCTGTGATACAGAATATGAATTAAATATGTGAAAAGGGAGGCCACACTGCCCAGTGCTGCCTTCCTGGATTGGCACAAGGGAAGAACCCTCTGTAAACTTTACCTAAAAACTTTTACCAAAGACAAGGTCACTGAATGGATAACATTGTGGAAGTCTTGCTCTGTTTGGTAGTAAACAGTTTTATTTAGCTACTTCATCTGGTCTGTGTGTCCATAGTGAGAGTTATATAATGCTCTATAAAGCAGTGGTTCTCAACCAGGAGTACGTTACCCCTGGGGATACACAGAGGTATTCAAGGGAGTACATCAACTCATCCAGAGATTTGCCTGGTTTTACAATAGACTACTTAAAAAGCACAAGCTTGTCAGTACAAACTAAAATTTCATACAGACAAAATGAGAAAGTAAGCTATTTTTCAGTAATAGTGTGCTGTGACCAGTGTTCCCTCTAATTTTTTACATGCATGTGCCGAATGAATTTTGTTATGTGCACCAATATGGAGGTGATGTGTAACACATCACCTCCATATTGGTGCACATAACAAAATTCATGTGGTGGGGGTGGGGCTGAGGGGTTCGGAGTGTGGGAGGGGGCAGAGGGTTGGGGTGTGGGGGGATGAGGGCTCTGGCTGGGGGGGCAGGCTCTGGGGTGGGGCTTGGGAGGAGAGGTTCAGGGTGTGGGAGGTGGCTCGGCTGGGGCAGAGGGTTGGGGTGTGGGTGCTGGGGTGGGGATGGGGATGAGGGGTTTGGAATGCAGGAGGAGGTACAGGGCTGGGGCAGAGGTGTGGGGGGGGGGCCTCTGGGCTGGGGATGAGGGGTTTGCGGTGGAGGCTGCCCTGGGGCTGCAGTGGGGAGAGAGGACTCCCCCCAGCTCTCTCTCACCACAGCAGGTTGGGACCAGGGGAGAGGCACCTCTCCCTGGCTGGCCACGGCAGCTCCAGTGGGGCTGGGCTGGGCTGAGGGAGGGGCTCCTCTCTCCAGCTGGCTGCGGCAAGTCTGGGGCAGGTTGGCGCCGCAGCAGGTCGACGCTGGGACTTAATAAGCAGTTGCGCGGCCACACAGCTTAGAGGGTACTT